GCCTATTCCAAAAATAGGAGAGAATGGATCCTAAATAATTTCACACAGTGATATCAACTGTCAGCAGCAAAGAAGAAAAAGGTTAGTATTGTTGAGGTTTAAAATATGTCATGGTGATATGCCTGACCATAATGACAGGGGAGCTAGATTTGTAGGTTAGAATAGAAATCAAGAAGTATAACGGATGGGTTAAATGAGGCAAATAAAAGAGGTCGCAAGATAATTTTTCCTTGACTCTGGTTAAGAAATATGTACCGTCTATTCTGGTATTTTTACGTGAAAATATCGGGGAAAGTACGTCCATGTATGTTTATCTAATGACTTGTTGCTCCGTTGTATTTATGGCCGATTCCGTTGTTATTTATATTCTCGTAAACTTGTTTCCTTATTCGCTCTGTTTCAATAATATCATGTCGTTTATTAGTTTTAAATGGTGATCAACGTCTTAATGTTTCTGTCTTTGGATAACTGTTTTCCCTAGTTTTACTAAAGATTTATAGGGGTTCGCAAAGTATGGGGACAATTTGACTGTTACTTTTTGAATCGATCAATAATTGTCCGTCTGTGTTTACTTAGAAACGTTCCCCAAATGTTTATTCAGATAAATGGTACGAGGAAGCTCACGCGTTTCAAATGGAAGACATAAGATGACCTGTACTTAATGTTACATGTCGTATTTAAATTTCCTCAGTAATTATATGCTCGGCTCCGAAGATTAGTAACAATTACCACTACAAGCTAAGTATTACTAATGATACTCATCTGATGGGAATATCTGAAACATAGACATCTCTAATCGTAGACCAGGAGTCAGCAATACTCGTCATGTCTTTGTTTCTCAACGACAGAAAAACAGGCATAGGAGGAGTGGCTTTATACATATGAGTTGCTTGTTGGAACATCAAGTGTACATGCAAGAGTTAATCAATCCCGATCAATCTGTATAGTGCCTGTTTCGGACAAACTCATATCCTGATACTAGGAGACTTCATTCTTCCTAAAATCTACTTGACTGGACACTAGGAGATTGGATCTGACAACTCTCACAAAGCTCAGTTCTTCGACGTCATCCAAAATTTGAGATCATTCAAAAATGTGAAGTTAGCAACCCGCAAGAGAAAGTTAAACACTATCACGTTTAAACTTCATATTTACAAGTGAAGAATTTTCAAATGACAACCTCTCAATCTTGGTTCCTCTGTATAAAGGTGATCAATAATAAGGCGCAACTGTTTTGCCCGACCGTGAGGAGGATCGAAAGAATGTTTGACATTCATTGAGCTGTCTGCAGATTATCTGACTAGGACAGAGCGATATATCACTAGCCCTAAAGATGTCACAATGTAAATTTCTATAAATTACGTACAAAAGTTTTGTTTTGGCATAGTCTTTGGATTAAAGTGACATGAAGAAACTTCGCACCCTATGCAGAAGAACAGAATTTGACGTGGTCAGATAAAAATTGCTCTATTGAATAACTTTCTGAGTTCAGGCTAAATATTCGAAGTTTCGTTGTAAGACACAATAACCAAGTAAATCTGCATCAGTAGCACAGGATTTTAGAAATTTTCTACAAATTTATCATTAAAAATGGTTTTACTCTGTCAAGTGTTCCTTAACCGTATAAGTCTAACCTTGAAACTACAGACGATAAAAAGTTAAGTTAACTAAAAAAGGATCACTCAATATTGATGGATTAACGCAGCTGTATGAAGTTCTGATTACTTCAAATAAAGTGACAGCACCTATATCGCAGCTTCATTTAAAACGTGTACGAAGGCATCATGAGCCAGAATGGACGCTAAGAGAGAGAAGAGGATGATGAGAGGCTGGAAGACCTGTGTACTTTCAATAAAGTCATAAACATCACCATTTTACACGGAAGACGTATAAACAAACAGAGGAAATTTTATAACTACAGATCATCTTTTGTGGCCAGGATAAAACTAACTATAAAGAAGAGTTGATAAATTGGACAAACGGAATATCTAAAGTTTAATACAGAGTTCATTTGAGAAGTTAACAGAACCAACGAGTTCAAGATCCTTTTTAATAACAACTGAGTCTTAGAAGACCTACCAGAATAAGAGGATATCAACTGGAAATGGACTAAAGAAACAATAATTTAATCCTGCCAGGAGGTTCCTGGTGGAAAGAAGCATCAGTATAAAGAGCGGATCTCTGTAAATAGCCTGAACAGGATTCAGAAAGGGAAAAATAAGCGGATAAAAGTCCAGGATATCTGAACAAAACTAAAGAGAGCCAAAACTCAAGTTGAATGTACTGAAGCAAGCGACTGAAGAAGAGCATCAGGACCAACGAGATGAAATATTGATAAGAATTGAAAGAAAAAGCACAAAAAGGAAATAATGAAGAACTGTGTAACGCGGCCAAGAAGTTAGTAGGGAGATTTAGTAAAGTGAAGAGACCAGTCTGAAACATTACAAAATACTGATGACTGAGGTGAATTTGGGACTTGAGACATCTTTTGAACAGACTAATGTAGCCGTGCATTAAAGTAACACACACACACAAACCTCTCTATATTTTTACAGTTCATCAGCAACAAAAAAGAGAGTAGCTAGACCATCAGGTATATCACGAATGGCAATGCAGTATACCAGTCAGCACATACGGAGGCACTCAAGTCAGATATATCAGTGACTGTACAGATTCTTCATGTTATTTTCGCAAAGAACAAGAAACAGTAAACTGGAAAGAAGGGATACCACATCATGATGAAATGTAATCGAGATCTTAATGAGTATTGTTACTTGAGAGTTATTCAATTACTGTCAGTACTAGAGTGGATAGAAAAGCCTGGTGGAATGTTCTTTGAAACTACGGAGTGTATAAGATCTTCACCATCACACGAAATTTTCATAAAGAACTGGATTCTAAATTGATACATGCACAGAACACATGGATGAACTCCAAGTGAAAACTGCCGTCGAATAAGATTTCCAAATTTTACCTTTTCACTTTCTTCTGGTTGTTGATTGGATTAGGAAGGCCTCGATATCTCAGAAACACTACAAAATACAGTGGACACTTCAGGATAAACTAGATGATTCAAACTTCGTATATGACTAGGACCATCTAACCTAACCAACATTAAATGCTGATAAAGACACCTAATACAGCAATAGCTTTCACAGAAATAAGACTCAACATTCACAATGGAAAAAGATCCTAAAGTACAAAATAGCAAGAACCAACCTAATCATATTTGATAGTGAAACTCTGAAAGAGCTGGGAACCTTTACATGCCTAGGAAGCATAATAGATAAACAAGGAGCATTTGATACAGACGCGAATCGTGAAGACAGTGGGATCATTCATATTATTGAAAAATATTTGGAAGTCTGAGAAACTGTAACTTAAGACTATAATCAGAATTTAAAAAGCTAACATTAAAACAACCTCATTATGCAGAACTCGTACGTAAAGAAATATCATCAACATCAATAAAATAGTACATGTATTAATAAGTAGCTGTTTACGCATGATACTCTAGATTCATTTTTTCAAAGCCATCATGTGGTGTTTGTAAGAACTAATGAGTCCTTTGTACTTGATGACTGCCTGATTTTGAATTCTAAAGGCGTTTTTCCGTGCTCGTTTAGTTCATCTTGGTTATATTGTGTTATTTCTGGGATTCCTAATTCGTATAATAATTCAGATACTTCTAATTATCACATCGGCGTCGCGAGCAGGATCCAGTGATGGAACAGCTGGACATAAATTCAGATTTTGATACTTTTGAGGACTATATGAAAAGGTTTGAAATCAGGCAGTCATCAAGTTCAAACAAATCACAAGTTCATACAAACATCACACATCAGCAATAATCTACTGTGAGGAGTAACAAACCCACTACCATTTGCGTAAGTTAGAAAAATATGCTAGGGGTAGGAAACACTATACAGTGACCATTCGGTTGCATTACAAGACAAAACTTAGCTTAGTATCTTCAAAGAACACATGACTCAGGGAAGTGGAGGTGAACATAAGAACTATGAATAGGACCTGGGAACAACTGGGAAGGAAAGCTCAGGACAGAGTTGTTTACATATTTTTTTATTGCTAAGCTTCGCTTCAAAATCAGTCAGAATTTTGAGTGATTGATAAGCAAGCAATTTCATAGTTTGAACATTTAAAAGTACTTTATATAGCCAAACCAATTGTAGTACTTCGTCATTTAAATGTACTACACTGAATTCTTTAAGCCACTAAGAGACTGATAGAAATACTGTTAGAACTTGAGTTTATATTAAAAAAGTTGTCGATGGTGAGAGTCATCACTTTAAGCTATAAATCTTAACATTAAAAATTGCAGTTACAGACCAGGCTGTTATAAATAAACCCATTCTAAGTATATATGGCTTTACGACTAGACCACAAACAAACACCGCATAAGTTACTATTATTAACATTTCAGCTAAAAGTCTATTTAAAATGCTTAAAAATTTAATTTCTTTTGTATTTCTTAGATTCGACTCATTTACCTCCTCAAAATAAGATTATTAATTAATGGATACGTTTTAGTATATTAAGTTTCTTTCTGGTAAGCGTTTTCTTAGTGAGTTAGTTTTCTACAGGGTGAGGTCGCTAATCCCATGCCCAACCCTCCTCTTTTATCCTGGCTTGGAGCCGGCAGTAGCCCTAGAGGGGCTCCAGGTGGAGGACTTACCTACGTCAGAAGGCAAACTTTCACATGAAATCCTCAAGGCCAAAGAAAAAGAGGAAAACCAAAGAACACATTATGCCGAGAAATGAAGACAGACGTTTGAAGAATCAACAAAAATTAGATAAAACTAGAAAGCAAGGCTCAGGACAAAGTGGGTTGGGATAATGTTGGTCGGAGTAAAGGGCGTAAGTAAGTAAGATTTTAATTATCAAGTCATCAACATCATGGAATACATACTGCTATGTTTTTAAAATATTTTACGGTTTCAACCATCGAAATCAATATTCATTAATAAAAAAGGTACATTTTTCAGTTATTCATAAAAGTGTATTGAAACAATACTAAATTTGAAAATTCATTCAAATAAATAAAAAAAGTACTAGAAATGTAGTTTCTATTGTCATTCACTAAAATATACTTATTGAATATGAAATTTAGTACAATGATAATAATTATTATGCCAAAAAGGAAGTTAAATTTACAAATATTCTGAAACAAATCCAATAAATTCTTCATAATTTAATCTTTCATCTTTATTTTTATCATATTTATCAACCCATTGTTCAACTTGTATAGGGAATATAAAATTACAATCATTTTTCATGTAATTTTTTATTTCTTCTTTTGAAATAGTTCCATCTTTATTTCGATCCATTTCACGAAATATTTTCCTTAATGCAGCACATCTTGAAATAGATGTTGTAATGTATTGAAAGAAACATATAATGACAAAGTAATAAATAGATATTGTTTGAATGAAATGAGATTAACATCCAGTGCTTCTAGGTTTATCATGATAGTCTAGTTTCAATCGATTCATGATCTTAACTATTAAAATTATTTTCTTCAAATTAAATCTTTTTAATAAAAGTGTATTCTAGGTCAGATATTATAGAATTAGGTTAAGTGTTCCCGCGCGAGACTGAAGGCCATGGGTTTGAATCCCGCAAGCGGGATTGTGGATGTGCACTGTTGAGGAGTACCACAACAGGACGAAACAGCCGTCCAGTGTTTCTAGGTTTTCAATGATGGTCTAACATCAATCGGTTCATGATCTTAATCAAAAACTTAATAGTCTCCACAACCCCTATACTGATAATTGATTGAAACTTTGCAAATTAGGTATTTACTTTATGATTCTCAGATTGTACTAAGATGTTTTGTAATTTTATATTTTCAAATCCATTCGATTGTCCCCACTTGAGTCCTTATTCATTTCATGATCAATTCCTTCTTAATCTTATGACGTGATTATAGTATTAATGCTCTGTTATGCTAGCAGGATAAAAAACTGCCCAGTTAAACAATATAAAACAGATACCCAACTTGTTATGTAATTAAACTTGTATCCTTTCAGTTCAGTTAATTATAAATAACTTTTAGAGTACGGGAAATACTAATATCGACAAATGACTTGTTCAGTACAAAAAAATAAATCTTTTTTAAAAAAAACTCACGATACATCAGATTGTGAAAGTTTCTTATTTGTAGCTTTCATGAATTCATTTTTAGATATTTTCCCATCTTTATTTTCATCATACAGTTTGATAACTTCCTTTACAGAAAAAATGTCATGAAGAAGTACAAAATGAAGGTTCATAAATGAAAAATTAACCAATCTAAACAAACATTATTAAAAGCTGACAAATAATAGAGAGCTACATATACAATAATATACATATAACATTTATTAAAATTATAAAATTACGTAATAAGAAGTGTCCAGATAAATACACCGTGAAGCGTATATTTGAGAAAAAATGGGTGGGAGGATGTGAAACAAACGAACAAAAGAAATATGGATAAAAATAAACAAATTCATTTATTAAGTTCCAATAGTTAAGATCATGAGTCAATTGAAGCTAGATCACCATGGACAATCTCGAAGCACTGGATGGCCGTTTCGTCCTAGTATGGGACACCTTACTAGTGCGCATCCACGATCCCGCCCCCCGCGTGATTCAAACCTGAGACCTATTAGTCTCACGCGCGAGCGCTTAACCACTAGACCATTGAGACAGGATCCAACGGTGTTAATGTCTAACTTCAACTAATCCAAGAAACTGAGTTATACATCCACCATTGTTATCAGTGAGTTGCTATCTCACAACTGATCCGGTTAAACTCCATTGGTCACTGCTTCTCACTAGAACTCCAGGATATACATCTTGAAGCCAATCACTAGTGAGCATATGTTGATCAGTATTAGAAAGGGTTATTTTGTGGAGATCGCAGTAATTTCAATAGTTGTGATCATGAGTCAATTGAAGCTAAAGCACCATGGAAAACCTGGAAGCACTTATTAAGGCCAAAGGAGAGATAAGATTGTTACGAATTTCTTATAAACACAAAGACTTAGATTGTTGGCTTGAATTCTTATAGCTTCTGCTATGTGCAAGAGACGAGCTTGAAAACCATAAGGAAAACCAGTAGGAATACGATAAATAACTTCAAATGACTGATAAACTACCTTGATTAGTTTAATAATTTCATATATACATATAAATATTACTGTATATTAGCATAAAGCGTGATGAGGATCTAATCGAAAACAATATTGTTCACTTATATTTATATATATTGTTCTAAAACCCTTTATCACATTTTATAAAGAGAAAAAAGAAAACGAGAAAAAGGATAACGATTTGTTTGTTGTTGTGCTCATTAATTTTTTTAAAAAATACCAATCAAACAAATAGAATCTTCCTTTGTTTTTCTTTTTCTTTTCTTCTTTTTTTCTATGGATGTCAAAAAATTCGTTACAATTATTAACTGAAACAATTATGTACTTCTTTTTAATTGTTACTTTTTGTTTGTTTTTTTTCTTTTGATGAATATATTTTGATTATCACGTTTATTCATTATTTTTCCACATGATATATATATATATATATATATATATATATATATATATATACAAATCGTCAGAAGAATAAAACAACTTTACGATGTAAATTATAAATTTTTCAAGTTTGAATTATGAAATGAATAGAGAAAAACAAACTAGAAAGATTAATTGGTAATTATGATGAGATTGTTAAGGTTTTGATTAGGATCATGAATCGATTGATGCTAGACCATTATAAGGAGCAATGGAAGCCCTGAATGAAGGTTTTGTTCTTGTATGGAATCCAGGATTTCAATGAACAACAAAAAAACTTACCATCTTTATAACCTAATAATGATAATTATCATGTACTTATTAGTGACTAGCTTTATCGGAGTTCTAGTGAGAAACTGTGACCAGTGGAGATAATCCATGTCAGGGAGAGACAGGTATGTACCTCAGACAATGGAAGATGGTCGTGCAATATATTAGATTGGTTGAAGTTAGATAATAACACCAATGGATACCCACTCAGTAGTCTACAGGTTAGACGTTCGCACGCGAAACTAAAGGTAGTGGGTTCGGATTCCGCTAGTGGGATCGTGGATGTGCACTACCTACGAGTCCCATACTAGGACAGAACGGCCTTCCATTGCTTTCTGGTTTTCAATGGTGGTCTAACAATAATCGGTTCATGATGTCAATGAAGAAAATATAAATTAAGTTGAACTATTAGGAATTCAAGGTGTACAACTAAAGTGTAATTTCAAACAAAATTTACTTTCGAATTTTGTGTATTATATTTAGGATTGCTAACAGTCATTTATAATATTAGAAATGTTATTATTAATTAAATATCATAATATATATAAATGATAATAACCAATTTAACTAGTCAGGAATTGTCTGCTTTGATGAATGAGTGTGATGTTTGTAGTCAACAGAATTAATATGAAGCCTATCATATTTATTCAATGTCGTTTTTCCAACTGCATTTATTAGCTGCATAAAGTTATATGCTTAAGTCAGCAAACGAAATCCATACTTTATGACAAAATAAATCTAGACTCAAGATAATTTTTTCAACATCTACTATCCCTTTAATATTATAGCACTTCTAGTCCCATTTATATGTATTCTGGTTGAAGCTTTTGATTTACACAGATCGATTCTATAACAATTTTCATAGAGGTATTTGTGAAATTTCAGTATTATTTGAACGTAAATCAATAATTAGAAAGAATTAATATGCAATTCATCACTGAGTGCTATCACTTGAGGTGATATGTAGAATCAGGGAGCTGTGAATGGTTATTTCATTTCAGTATGAGATCAATCAGTAGTGTGCATCCCTCATGACCTATGGAGGCGGAAGCAATTGTTGATATCAACACAGGATGTCTACTATAAACCTCATGGTGAGTAATTTGAATGAGAATCAACGGTTAAAATCAATGTAACGTGATTCTAAAAAAATTGAACGTATATTAGACTAGCAGATTTTTTCGCTAATTATAGAAGGTTTTCAGGATATGTAATGAAAGTCTTCAGAAGGAGGATTTCAAGAATAACAGAAATCGAAAGGTGTTCCTAAGTTCATAAAATGTATTAATTCAGGGAAAAGATTAATTATGAAGAGGTGAAAAAAAACAATGATTTTCTAAATACTTACTTCAGCTTTACTTTTAGGAAAACCAAAACTTTCCAAACAGCTAATAATTTCAGCTCTACTTAGAAATCCATCAGAATTTTTATCAATACTGTCGAATTCTTTTTCAAGTATATACATTATAGCCATTCTGTTAAAAAATGGTAATTATTCAAGAAGAAACATCAACATGGTACTCACAATACGATAGTGTTTTAGATTGTTTTAAAAATCGGTAAATTGTTTAATCGTTAAAAAATCTATTTTAGTAGTTCCTGTCATTTTTTTCATATACAAAGGTATTCCATATGGTATATTACTTGGATTTCTTAATTGTTGGTATTTTTTCGCACAACATTATTGATTTAACTTGACTTAGTCGAAAAACAAGGAAAAATATAGTGAAAGAACTTTTCACTAGTGCTTCTTAGTTGTTTAATTAGTTCTCTGAAAGCACGATAAAGCTTAACTTTGTAGATTATTTCCTAGTTTACTAGATAATTTTCCAAAAAAGAATCATAAACGCATTTCGGAATAACAAAAACCTATGCCCCCAAACATTTTCAAATGTTGTTAGAGGTGTGAAAACGGTTATCATATTGTGGTTGCCTACACCATGGTTGGATAATTATTCTTGAGGGACCTGATAAGGAAACTGAGTCTGTGGAAGTCTTGAAGACTTATGAGAAATTAGGATTCATACCAAAAATAAAACACAAATATTGTTTTAGGAATCATGAAACAAACTGATGATTTACTATACCAAATCGGAATTTCTTCTTTCAACAGCAAAGACTGCAGAAACGTTAAATGTAGTTTGGAATTAATGTTAAGAAAATCCTTATTCTAATTATTTATGTTCCATACAAATTTTCAAACTATTTAGCTCAACTTTGTTAAATAGACTCGGGATATTGGTTAGTAACAAGTTCCACAGTGTAATCAATAAATTTTCACTACAAGTTCATGAGATTGAACATTGATTTTGTCTCCATGTTTTTTTCTCATCTTTTAAAGCCCGATCAAAAATTATTTTCAACCAAATCAAGTTTTTTTTTTAATTGCACAAATTAATGAAACAATGAATTATTAGGAATACTGACAATTAACTTAGAACAAAGATCAAATTAAGATTATATAATCCGTTATAGTCATTTCATATTTTAACTGTATGGGACTCCTCAGAAGTGTACATCCACGATCCCATACGCTGGATTCGAATGTAAGTCAGTTACTCTCCAAAGACAATATAATCTTACAGAAAGTATGATACTAATAACTAGTCCATTTAAGCTAGAAATATTAGCTGTACATATTCTACTTTTATTTCAAAACTCTTCGTAAACTGCTTATTTTTATTAATAGATATATTTTAATATTTGATCAAAATGTTTAATCATCTAATTAGATTTTACCATCAATGAATAATAGATAATCAATATAATCTAAGTTTTAGAATCTATATAAACATTTCTGAGAGATGTACATTGATAAAAGATGATAATCACTACTGTGGTGTGTGCTACTGATGTCGACAGATATAAGTAGTATGTGTCATCAATCGAAAGTGAAATGTCGAGTGGCAGAAGGTTAAGAAGATTGAAAAGAAAAGAGCGAGAACAGGGAATGATTGATGTAAAAACGAAGGAACAATCAAGTCTGAGACAATTGATTGACATTTCGCAAATGAAGTATTTACTATATGATTCTTAGAATTTAATAAAAGATTCTGTAATTTTGCATTAAAGTACATTTAATTGTCCCAGCATGTGTTCTTGTTCACTACAGTACCTTGGTTAATTATTATCAACTTTTTAGCAGACTAACCTTATTTTAACAATGTTCATGTACAAGGTAGAATTTCCAATATAATAAATTATCCTTTGCTAATACATTAGAATGATATAATTATCAAATTTATTAGAAACCAAAAATCTTTAGTTAACTCACTTAGTAATATGGTGATATGAATATAGTTGATTTTAATGAAATCGAATGAATAAATTCTAGATGAATCAATCAGCTTATAAACCGTGTATATTGTGGTTACACACACACACACATAAGCATATGTATCCATGACACCAAAACAATAAAAAAATGCTTACAATTCTTAAAACAAAAATCTGTTACATTATACAAAATTCAATCAATAAACATTGAAGTAAAGATAATGATTGTTGTGTATACAAAGAAAAAAAATGAAATCAAATGAATGCCAACAAATGATAGATTTTATTGAAATTTTTGGTTGTCTAGGTGCATGTTTATATGTAAAAATATCAACGAAGAATGTAACGATAGAAAAGTTAAACAATTTATTTTTATCAGTAGGGGGTTGTGAAAGGTTTTTTTACCTCCGATTGATATCATGAACGAATCAATGTTAGACCACCATTTAAAGCATGGAGGCACTAGACAGCCATTTCGTTCTAGTATAGGACTTTTCAAAAGTGCGAATCCACGATCCCACACATGAGACTCAAACCCTGGATCTACGGTCTCTTGAGCGAACGCCTAACCTATAGACTACTGAGCGAGCATCCAATGGTGTTAATATCTAACTCCAACTAATCTACGATATTGAGCGAACGTTCTCGATTGTCTTCAGTGAGTAATTGCCTCATATTCGAATTCCGCGTGCAAGATTGTGGATGCGCACTTCTAAGGAGTCCTATAGTAGAACGAAACGACTGTCCAGTTCTTCCAGGTTTTCAATGCTGGTCTAACACTGATCCATTCATGATATCAATTTAAAACTATTTTTTACACATTTTCAATAAATGAAAAGAAGTATTTTTCATTTTAATGTTTTACGTAAACTATCTAGTATTTTAAGATTTTTGAAGCATACTGTTACGAATTCCAAACTAACAACAACAGAACTATTCAATAGAATTTGATTTAATGAAAGTCTTTCAAGTGATATCAGTTTTTTATGTAGATTTTTATAGATTTATGGAAAAAAGAAGCTACTAAAATTTTATACAATTCGAGTTGAAAAATAGTGGATGTGTATCTTGTCATTCCAGTATTTACAAGAATCTCTCTTTATTAAAGTTACTACTTTGAAGCATGCTTATATACATATATATATTGCGAAAGCAATGCCTCAAATTGGTAAATATTAACTGATTATATGTTTCTTTCTCTGATAATAAACTCATCTTTCATTTTCCTTAAAATTTTAATTAGCATCTGTTCCGTTTTTTTCAGTTGTGTCTTTTGAACAGTTTTTTTAGAGAATTTGACAGGATCGGATAATATCGAAGATAATTTGGTAACATAGTCAAAACACTTCATAAGGACAATTCCTGAACCCTTGTCTGGGCGATATAACACTAAGTCCTTTTTTTGAATATAATTGAGAACGCCTCATCAGATAGAATTATCAAAGTTAAATTTATGTTTAGTAGATAATTTCTGAATAAATTAATTGATGTGAACAGAGAAACAAGAATCCTTGACAAACTACGAAAGCTATTTTTCGGGACTTATTTAAGTTAGTTCAAAGCTTGTAAAACATTAACATTTATTTTTGTCCCTAATCTATTCTACAGAACTTAAGCTTTCGTTTGATGTATGATTCACTGATATAGCCCTTTTTGTCCCAAAGCTATTGTAATTTAAACGCATTATTTTGTACTCTATTTTCTACGCTAATCCCCAGTTTTGGACATAGTTGTATTTTCCTAATTATTTACGTTGTGTTCGGGTTAGTTATTTATTTATTCATGTATGTTCTTACACTGATCTGGAAATCGGGAACCAGATCGGAATTGGGAATAAATCGAGTAGTGTTCTAGTTGACTTGTCTTCTCTCACTCGCGTGCTTGTCAGACAATCAGGTGATAGAATAGTTTTCTTCTCTCTACCCCACTTCGAACTCACGCGTACTAGCCTCAAAGTTAAGCCGGTCAGCCTATCGCGTCAAGGTCTTAATCTAGTACGTTAGACAAGTTAACCTCAGCAACAAAAGTGGGTAGACAGATCAAGGACGTAACATTAATTATTATGCCAGATAAATTGTTTATACGTAACTCTTGTTAATTATATGCAACCTTAAGAGTATATAAAGGATAGTGTGATGACAACAAATTGTACTTATTCAAACGAATATTTGACAAATCGTCCAATCATATTAAGCTTTATTGATAAAATGAATTGTATGTTGAATACAAGATAAGTATTCTCCATTGAATAATCTTTAAATATGAATAAAATAGATAAATCTACTAATAAGATAACAAACCATCTGTGTTAGTTTAATTAAAGTGAATAATATACTGATTTACAGCCTAAAATAAACAGTTTGTACAGTGGAAAAGCTTAAAAATTAACCATTGCAATAACATTGATTGTATTTTGGGAAACTGATGACTAAGAATGTTTCATTTCTTTTTATAAGAAAACAATATTAACAGTCATAAATAATAACAGACCAAAAGATAAACTATTAATTCAGTGTAAATCATAATAGTTTTACTCTCTTAATACGTTTGACTAATTTAAATATTTGGGTTGAAATTGGGTTCAGTCAGTCAGTTATCTACAACGTAGGAGCAGGCACATATATGCATCAGTCCAAGTTGCTACACCTCATTAGCACAACAAGATGAATACCAAAATCATAGATGTTAATTCAATGGTGTAAGTATATATTAAAAAAGATTGCATATAGGAATATGATGTAGGGAAAAAGAATAAGCTCATAGAAAGAAAGGTATAAAGCAATTTTAATCTCTCAGTTTAAGGGAAGATGGAGATCGATCCTGAACCATGTCACCAAGAGTCTCCAACCACTGGTTACGATAGTCACGCGGACCCCAACCAAGTAGTCTGCATCTCCCAACATTGCTCAGATCAGAAGTTAGTGGCTTTGTGGACTGATGCTACGTTTTGGTTTGACTGCCACTAAATTTATTTCATCCTTCTCCAACATTATTCAGCATTGCTCGTCGTGGTAATCGGTGTTAAGGCATACGTAACATGTGGTCCAACCATTTCAGTCGATGAAGATTCACAACCTCATCAACTGATTTACCATCGTTCCCTAATACCCTGTGTCTAACCTCACTATTACTTACCCGGTGATCCCAGCAATATTTCTTAGACACCTGTGGTCAAATACTAGTGCCTCACGAGTATCCTCTACTCTTAATGGCCATCTTTTGATGCCGTCAATTAAAACAGAATGAACTGTCGCACAGTATACTCGTCCTTTTATTGATAGACGAATATCTCGCCTTCGCCATAGATGACGTAAGTTGGCAAAAGCCAAACGAGCTTTTTGAATCCGTGCTGAGATTTCATCAAACATCAACTCATTAGGGCTGATCAGACTTCCAAGATAAGTGAAGGTGTTGATGCGTTTTACCACTTCATATCCTATCCTTAGTTCAGGAGTTGACGCAGATCAGTCCTGTAGCGAAAATTCGCATTTACAGAGGGAGTAACACATCCCAAACATCTTGGTATGTTTGCTCAATGATAACAAAAGACGGAATTTTATCAGTAGTAAACAGTAAAAAATTATGTATTTGGCTTAAAATCACTTTGTGTTTGTGAGCTTGTGGTAACAACCGACATATAAAGTGAAATAGATACAATGGCATTCAAATCTGAAGCCCAATAATCAAACTTTCAGTGAGTATATCTTCTATTCATCATTAGAATTGTTAAATACATCAAGCTGATAAGGTCTACAGTTCTAGTAATCGTAGTAAATGTCAGACAGATACTAATTAATTAATTGGACTAGGGTAATACATGTGATAACTTAATTGATTATTGCACTTATAAATTTACATTTGACTAACCGTATCTTTCAAATGAATAAATGAACAAAATGATAAAACAAGCAATTATGTATTCTATAATTCGTTAGTAAAATAGGAAACAGTATTATATATACGAGTTGGTTTTTGTTTATAAACAATATTGACTTACAAAAAGTAAAATATTAGACTAATTAAAAATCATTGTCTCAAATAAAAATTATTAGGATAAATCAGTTGGGATAGAATGCCAAGTACCCATAAATCAATTCAACATTTAAGTAAACCTAAAAAACCAGTATAGGGGTTGTGGAGATTATCAAGTATTTGATTGAGGTCATGGACCGATTGATGTTAGACCACCGTTGGAAACCTGGAAGCATTGGACGGCTGTTTCGTCCTATTGTGGGGCTCCTCAGCAGTCCTATTAATGATAATTATAATGTGCTCACTCGTGACTACGTTAGTGAGGCGATTCTTGGAGCCGTGACCACTAGAGTTAATCCATGTTGGGTAGAGACAGGTATCTACCTCAGTACAATGGAAGGTGGTCGCGCAATTTAATGGATTTGGTTGATGCTAGACACTAACGCCATTGGAAGCCAGCTCAGCGGTTCAGTAGGTTAAGCGTTCGCGAGACTGAAGGCCCTGGGTTTGAATCACGCGAGCGGGATTGTGGATGAGCACTGTTGAGGAGTCCCACAATAGGACCAAACGGTCGTCCAGTACTTCTAGGTTTTCAATGAAGGTCTAACATCAATCTGTTCATGATCTCATACAAAAACTTAAAAAATCCTTAAATGTCTGTCATATTAATTATATACAAAAACAAAATAATAAAATTCTTATCTACTTACTTAGAATTGCAAGAAAAAAATGCTTTGAAAATACTTATATTCTCTTTAAACTTACACAAGAACATATATTACTGATTCATTATAAAGTAACACAACAATTCATATGTTTAAAATCATATGATCAGATATAGTATTCTACTATTGGATTAATAATAGTTCACCCATTTTGAGCACGTGTTGATCACAATAAATTATACCTTATACTATAGGATATAAAATGTACTGAATATTATGATTGTATAAATGATTGAATGATGAATATTATAAAAGAACTTTTTTTAAAGCTTTTCATTATAAATAAGTACTAATTCATTTTGTGTATGACAAGTTATAATAACAGTTAAGTAAATTTAATGTAGCGGTACAACACGGAGAACACCAATCCAATCACACTTGATGGCGTAACTCTGGAAGATGTGGAATCCTTCACATACCTGGGAAGCATCATCTATGAACACGGAGGATCAGATGCAGACGTAAAGACAAGGATTGGTTAAGCAAGGGCCACATTCCTACAGTTGAAGAACATATGGAACTCAAAACAACTTTCAACTAATATCAAAGTGAGTATCTTCACTACCAACGTCAAGGCAGTTCTACTGTATGAAGCTGAAACTTGGAGAACTACTATGACCACCATCAAGAAGATACAAGTATTTATAAATAGTTGTCTACGCAAGATACTCAATGTCCATTGTTGGCCGGATACCATCAGCAACAGCCTTCTGTGGGTGAGAACAAACCAGCTTCCAACTGAGGAGGAAATTAGGAAAAGACGATGGAAATGGATGGGACATATATTACGCAAATCGTCAAAGCCCTAACTTGGAGTCCTGAAGGGAAGCGGAAAAGAGGAAGGCCAAAAAACACATCAGGTCGGGAAATAGAAGCAGATATGAAAAGGATGAATAAGAACTGGAAAGAGCTGGAAAAGACTGCCCAGGACAGAGTCGAATGGAGAATACTGGTGAGCGGCCTATGCTCCTTTAAGAGGAGTAACAGGCGTTAGTAAGTAAATTTAATGTAAACTTTTACAAATGTACATTCGAAAAGTAATTTCTGTTATGATATGACAGCGAATAAAAATTCAAAAAGAATCAAGTAGTAAAAACATAATTATTCTATTTTAGATAAGAGATTTCGTTTAAATTTGATCGAATAGCTTCACTGCATTTTGGCTCTGAGTTAATGTGAGACATTAAAGAGGAAGAATGCATTTATAAAATATCAGTGAAAGAATTTAAAGTAAATCCAACGTTTCGCTCGGCAATCTGATCCAAACTTTTTCAAGGAAATATAATCAAACATCAAAATAAAAAAAATATAAGAGTATTCTTACGAACAAACAATACTCTATGATCAAAACTAGTAAGAATCAAAGATCCAGTACACAAGGAAGAACAATAGAATTGTGTTTATGAAATCAGATTTAGTGACTGTAATGTAACTTATGTAGGTGAACCATCAATACAACTGAAAGTGAGGATGAAGGAATACAAACTATGCTTACAGCACATTCCTAAATCTTCAGTTGAGGTAAAAAAACTCGAGAACAAATGAGTGATAGCATTACACTCGATAGAATCGGGTCATGCAATTGATTTCAATGGCATAAGAATCCTTCAAAAAGGCTTTAATTCTTACAAAGAAAGACTAACAGCCGAAGCCTAACATATATGGGCTAATCCAAACAGCCTTAATAGGAGAGATGGAAAACAACAAGTTGTCCCATGGCAACTAATAATTAATAAATAAACTTGATCTCCTTATTCCATTCTATCTATATCGTATTAATTAATTAACAGATATTAAATTTCATCTCCACAAAACCCCTTCTGATAATAATCATCTGCTCACTAATGACTGACTTCAAGAGGGATTTCCTGGAGTTCTAGTGAGAAGCATTGATCAGTGGAGTTCAACCAGTTCAGTTGTGAGATATCAGCCCACTGAAGACAATGGTGTACGGTGGCGCAATTTCGTGGATTAGTTGAAATTAGACATTAACACCGTTGGATGCCGGCTCAGTGGTCTAATGGTTAAACACTCTCGCGCGAAACTGATAGGTCCTGGGTTCAAATCTCGCGTGGGGCGGGATCGTGGATGCGCACTACTGAGGAGTCCCACAGAAGAACGTAACGGCCTTCCAGTGCTTCGAGGTTGTCCATGGTTATCTAGCTTCACGATTTCAACTATGTTAAACAAGTGTCTGGATTATTAAAATAACACAAAATTTTAATTACAAATACATTTTTCCTCTTTGAACTCATTATTTTATCTTGTTTATTAATCTTCATTTTATGCATGCTGTGACATTTTTGATTCATATCATATATAAAAATTATATGTTTTCTTAATGTTCAGCGACCGAAGACAATATATAGTGAATGAAATATCCTCTTCTTACTTATACACACAATCTGTTATCTTAACACTTTTCGTTTCACACCACATGTCTCTTACACACTACTGTAAATACCTACTTTAAGCATTGATAACGTTGATTGGATGACTGATTCAGTATACAGTAAACCGGAGAGCCAAGTACCTATTTATATCTGATAATTTCGTTGTTTGATTATATTTTCCTTGCAAAAGCTTGGACCAGATTGCCAGGCGAAACGTTGGATTTACTTCAAATTCTTTCGCTGAGATTTTACAAATACATTCTTCCTCTTTAATATTCTATTCTAGCTTGAGATTATTCGCTAGTACAAACATATAAATTTTTGCGGAAACATTAGATCGAAAAATCTTCAGGGCTTACAATGAGTATAATATTGTACTTACAGAAATGGATTCGAATTCTATTGTCCGTATTTTCACATTAAACCATTTCGGAATATAGTATAAGGTGAAACTGTGGCATTTTAGAAAATGACCAAACTTGGAACTGTTATTTATATTAGATGGCTTGCAGTGATTGTTTCATCATGGATGGGCACTTGTTGAGGGGGGAGATTGGAAGACATTGAAGTATTGGGTTACTGTTTAAGATATAGCATTTGCTTACAGAAACTAAAAATGAATGCATTTTCTTACAAAAAAAAACTATTTCCCAAAGTTTTATGGAAACCAAAGATTTCGGAATAACTCCAAATAATCACAAGGAAATTAGCTGATTAATTATTATTGATTGATATCTATTTTATTATGGATACATGAACCATTAATCAGATGTGGATATAAGAATACGTGCAGTGTGGAATCTAACGACTCGTATTAATAGGGGGATCTGAACATTAAAATAGATAAATACATCTGTGTGAAAATTTTAGATAATTGCAAAATTCCAAATTTAAGTGACTGCAACATTAGTTACATTGATAAGAAAACAGTCAAATAAACTGGATATTCGTCAAATTATTTAATAAATTAATAAGAGTAAAACTACAAACATACTAAGAATAGATATAGAGCATGAAACGATTGTTGTAGTGGTTGTTATAACCATTGACTAATATACAAATACGTGTTTTATTTACTGGGAAAGGTTAATGAGCTAAGATAAAATAGCTTGAAAAGTAGTAGACACGTAGAAATTAAACGGAAAGAAGGGGTTTATAAATTCAACTTAAAATGGATTGGATTATCCTTTTGTTGATATTTTTGGCTGAAATTTGATCACACTTGGTTGGAATACGATAATCATATGGGAGATACTTATATATAACCAATGAGATACAAGTTAGTATACAATAGATGGGACGTTGCTAGCAGTTGGATTCAGGACTCGTTTTTCATCCCACTTAAACTCGTCGGCTGGATGTATTCGCATCCCAGGTTTGATGTTCAGTCTGGAACTTGAACTAGACCGTTCGCTTGAAACTCCATCTTGTTGTTTACTTAGTTACCCAGTTCAGATAACCACTCGTGCAATGAGTATGAGTTTTAATTTAATTTGAAATAGATTGAAAAGAAGGAGAGTATAAACTCATGTAAAAGAAAATAAATAAATCGAAAAATCAAGGTAAACAGATATGATAAATTGATCATTGTAACATTGATATCGTTCACTACAAAATAGAAAGTAACAATAATTCAAGTACAGTATACACGTTAAGTTATGAAGAGAGCATGAGTTAAGATTTGAGGAAAATAACCTAAGCTCATCCTTATTTCCTTCCGTTCTTGTCAGCTGCTTACAACTAACCTAAAATATCATGAAAGTGGTAAGATATGAATACTTATCAACATAGTAAAGTGGCTCTTAGATAAAAAAGCTAGTGTAGCGAATACTTACGATATATGAGAGAAAAACATTGAAATAACAATCAAAGATTACGATACTAAATAATTGGTTAATTACATAACGAGGTTGCTGGACAGTAATAATAGTAATAACATGTTTGGAAAATAGTCAGTTTAAATCATTGACTGCTGTATCAAAAGTGCTGGTTTCTGTCCTAACATATTCAAAAATAAATAACTTCGAAAATAGAGTGTGAGGTTTTGTTGTTTGTTTTTAACAATAAAACTATGTTGGAATCACCACTCCACCATGATGATACAGATTCACTACTATGTGAAATTTTGATTTCAAACCATTACAGGTTGGTCATAAGCATGACAATGAAGTGAACTATATGTGTCATAATAAATCAACCAAATGATTGTTATGTAATATTAGCTTCATTAAAGTCTCTAGATCGAAGTTTTTCTATTTTCATTCCTAGTCGAATTCCAATGTAAGTCAGTGTTCTAAGATATGTATGTAGTTGCAATCTGGTTTCACCAACTTTTTCTTAGGTTAAACTTGAAAAACAGTACAATCACTGTTAGTATATGCCATCAAATGAGGTTAATAACTATAATTAATAACTCGAACGTAAACTGACTGGAAACAATTTGAGGTATTTTGTAGGGATATGTCCAGTTTAAAATATATCATCTAAGGTTCATATCATTTTTTTA